CTGCTAATTTAAAGAGTTTTTCACAACTCTCAGTTGTGAGCAATGACTCAACTTCATGTTTGCTAAAAGGAGAAATAAGATAAAATGCTTTGTCTGATTTTCAGTGGAAAATGTTTAAGAACGTGAAGAAATGTGGCAAGTAAATACAATTCCATTTTAAAATATTCAACAAAGTATAACATATTCCTCATTTCACTTCTTTTAATGCATTTTCTTATATTCAGCCACTGCGTTTTCCTCCCACAGTCTGGCAAGTCTATGTCTCAGGTTTTGTTTGCCTTGCCTTTTCTCCTTTTTATTTTGATAGCATGTCAGGATCAGCTCCTCTGGTGGCAGCAGGGTGAATGGGGAGTATGCAAACAGAGCTTTGTCTGCAGAGGCCGAGACTCCAGATTGAGAAGTATCAATGCCTCATTGCAAGCTCCAGTGGAAATCAAACAACAACAACTCAATTGCTGTTGAGCCAGAACCAACTCAAAACTGATCCTTTAGCGAGTTATCAGGGGGCGGTGACTCACATATGAGAAGATTGCCCACCGAGCACGGAGAATCCCACAGAGCAGCTGGTGGATTCAAACTGCCTGACTCTGTCTGGGTTTGCAGTGCAACTGCTTAACCATTACCACATAGTAGGGTACCCTACGTAGAGATGAGAATAAAGACAGTCTCACAAATTCTGCTCTACAAGTTCATTCTAACATGTATGTTATGATTTCGGGTAGTTGAGAAATCATCTTAATTTGAGTAACAGGTCATAGAGAACAAAAGTCACTTTATTACAGGTCTTTGGCAGAATTTTCTTCCCCAGGAAAGATACAGTGTCAGCCTCTTCCCCTGTTAGTTTAACTTCCTTCCTAGGAGTGTCAAAGTCAGCCTGCCCCAGTCCAGCCCTCTCCATGGACTCTGAGGCCGAGATCTGATCTGTCCAGTCTACCGGGGCTACCAGTGTCTGGCACAGAGGACAGTCTCGATAAGTGAGTGGGGCAATAGTCTAAGAGTGTAATGTAGTGACAGCAGATCTCAATTAACTTCAAAGGGAAGAAAGAAAATTACCGTTCAAAGCTAATTATGAGGCAGAGGTCAGATATATTTTTACTCTCTAGGCTTCTTTTTATGCATCAGAGAGCTGGACAATGACTAGGGAGGACAGAAGGAGAATTGACGCCTTTGAGCTGTGGTGCTGGAGAAGAGTATTGAATGTACCATGGACTGCCAAGAAAACAAACAGGTTCATCCTAGAGAGGGTTAAACCAGGCTACTCCTTGGAGGCAAAGATTCTGGGTCTTCGTCTCACATACTTTGGACATGTTGTAAGGAGAGACAGGTCTTTGGAGAGGGACATCATGCTGGGTAGAGTAGAGGGACAGTACAGGAGGGGAAGACCCTCTATGAGGTGGATTGATTCAGTGACTGGGATAATCGGGATGGGTGTGTCAGAGGCAATGCGATTGGCACAGGATAGAGCAGGGTTTAGGGCTGTTGTACATAGGGTCGCTATGAGTCGCAAACGACTTGACAGCACATAACAACAACAACAACCACCTTCTTTTAACCAATTATTACATTAATCTCACTAATTAATCACATTAATTCAACCAATTATTTCGTTAATTCATTGGCGTGTCCGTACCAAATTCCCAGATCATTCTCATGATTATAGCTTTCAACAGGCTAGAATTCAGGATCAGAAGCAAGTAGGTAGTAACAGAAACAACTCAGCAGTGAGAATGAAGTAGAGCAGTTTATCTATGAGAAAAATTTCCAGTTTGTCAGCTCCTCTCCTCAGCTGTGCCCTCAGGGTAGGCCATCCTCATGCTTGGTTGTCCCCACTGCTGGCTATCATTCTCAGCCTCCACCCAGCTCTTGCAGAGTGCTACCAAATCAAGCTCGATTGCTATGTGCCTGAAGGCATCTAACCCCACCAGAAAGCCTCCTACCCCATGACTCTCAGCTCTCTTGCTGCATGGGGTGGTAAGCCTAGCTCCACCGATTAGTGCCTTTGGGTACCCTACTTTGCCAGGAGAACCCCCACTCTAGCCACGCCATGCACTCCATCTTCTTATTTCTTATTTCTTGCACTGCAGTCACTCTGACTGTGCCATCTCTTGCCATCTTTGGTGTTACAGTTCACTCAATCTCCTGGTTCTAGAAGGTTCTCCGTTCAGGTATTCTGAAGTCTAAACAACTCAGAAACCAGGTTGTAAATAAAATGATCGAATATTGTATGTTCAATGATTTATTCATCATAAACACTTTTTTTAAAGACAGTGATTTTACACATGGATCTCATCTGATGGGCTGCCTTGGAATCAGACTGACTACATCTATAGAAGGAATCACTAGTTGTTGTTTGTTGTTATGTTACCTGCGAGTTACCTGCAACTTAGCGACTCTATGGACAACAGCCTTAAATCCTGCTCTATCCTGTGCCAATCTTATTGTCTCCCAACATGCCTATCCCCATTACCCCCGTGATTGACTCAATCCATCTCATTGAGGGTCTTCCTCTCCTGCACTGTCCCCTTGACCCTCCCAGCATGTCAACAGAGAATTGCCTGAAGTGCAGGCTGGATTTAGAAGAGGTTGTGGCACTAGGGATATTATAGCTAATGTCAGATGGATCTTGGAATCACTAGAGAAGCTTAAAAACTATCCGTAGTTAACCAGGCCAGGTGCTGATTGTGGGTCAGACCATCAATTACTCATGAGTAAGTCCAAATGGAGGCTAAGAAAATGACATCAAGTCTATGAAACCAAAATACGACCTTGAGTCTATCCCACCTGAATTTAAGAATCACCTTAAGAATAGATTTGAGGCATTGAGCACCAGTGATCAAAGACCAGATGAGTTGTGAGATGGCATCAAGGATATAATCCATGAAGAGAGCAAAAGGTCAGAAGAGAGAGAAAAATGAAAAATAAAAATGAATGTCAGAACAGACTCTGAAATTGCACGAGAGCATGGAGAAACCAAAAAAAAAAAAAAAAAAAAGGTGGGAGGGGGAAGTGCCGTGAGCTGGAACTGGAGAATAAAAAGGAGAAAAACTTGCTTGTCATTTCTAACTGAAAGAACAGAAGAACAAATTCAAGCCTCATATTGCAATACTGAGAGATGAAATGACATTTGGAGTCACATAATTCTTTGGGCATTATATGTATGAAAAGAGTCTGGAACAAGGGACGTATTTCGGGATTGGCTGGCAGAAGGGGAGGGGAGGGTAGAAATGCAACAATGAATTAAAATGAAAATTTTGGCGAGGTGGATGGGGACTGTTCCGCACATTGTTAAGATGTGTTAAGATGTTCTGCAGCATCCTCTACCAATACTTTCTAGATGATAGTAGCACTTTCCAGTCAAGTACTAACAGCCAAACTGTCTCCCAAAAGAGCTAAACTCTAAAATTAATTCTGATTCAAAAGGGTCCTATAGGACAGAGTTGAACAGCACTACTGAGCTTCTCAAACTGTAATTTTTATGGAAGCCGACTGTCTTTTCTTCCTCATGCAAAGTGGTTGGTATACTCAATCTTTTGGTGTCAAGCCAAAGCATAATCCATTGTATCACTCACTACAGCTCCTAAAATGTCTCCAGACTCTGCCAAATGTTCACTGGGGACAACCCCAACCCCCCCTGTGTTACAAGAAACGCTAAAATATAATTAAAGTGAAAGCCTGAAAGCTGGAGTGGGTTTAGGGATTCAGAAGGAGATGAAGTCAGGAAGGGGAGGGATGACTTGGTGGGCAATGGATAGTATGCCCCTGAAAGGATTGGAACAAAACAATAACAACTCACATTTTAAAACCATTATTTCGGGTAAAACAATTCTTTTGGGTACTGCAATAAAAAGTAACCATAGGTAAATGACAGATATGGCCTGCCCAATTGGGTGGTTATCACAATGACGCCAGGAATTATTATCTGGTCTAACATTTTCTCTAATTTGGCTAGGTAGTAGCAGGGGACAGGACGAGGGAGTTAAATCAAGAAGCTCGGAGGAGAAAAGAGGAAGAATATGTAGAACTTAGAAGAAAAAAAAAAAGCTGGAAGTTGACAAAAGAACTTTTTGAAGAAGTGGCAGGCAGTAAGTTAAGTGGAAGTCTGTAAAATAACTGAGTCACTTGGAAGGGTGCAGGGGTCCTGGAGTGAAAGGAGAGGTTTTCTGCCAGTGGTGTGCAGAACCTTGAACGTAATCCTCATAATTTGGAGTTGGAGACTATAATGGGAGCCTTTTAAGTGTAAGTAATGATGTGGAAAATTCTGTAGCAAAGTGGATGAGAGAAATCAGAAGAGTCATTTAAAAGAAAATCCATCCTGAAGTGATATAGGCAGAAGCCGTTAAGAGCTTTGATTTACAGGTGCCATCTAGAACTTCATGATGGGCATGGCATGAAGGAAACAGAAGTTAGGCCCTTGCCTAAATCTCTCTCCTCCTCAGGGTAATTTTGCTTGCAGACAAATATAGACCACTGCGATCAGCTTCTAACTTAGAGGTTCTATGAAAGAAAGCTCAAACGGATATCAAAAAGCAAGATTGGGCCTGGGTGGGTCACACCAACTTCATGAACTTCAGAAATCTCTATTTCAGGAGAACGAAAGACTATTTTTCACAGTGTTGGTACATCAAACGAGTCCTATTACATGGCAGATTGAAGCACCAAGGACGCTGGCCTCCATACTTGCACCTACTTTTTGCAGTCGTCCGATTTGTGAGGAACTCGCAGGAGACATAAAAATGCAGGCCCCCCTCATCACCTCCTGTCCACCTCCAGGGTACTGGGTTGCTATCAGAGCCGAGCCGCAGTTGTGCGCCGGGAGCCGCCCCAGGAAGCGCACGCCAGCCGCCCCTCTGGGTGTGGCGCTCGCCGCGGAGCCCGGCACGCGGGC